TTTAGGGTTTAGGGGGTTAAAGGTTCAAGGTTTAGAGTTTGCGCCTCAGGGTTTCTTTTTCCATGTCCTTTTCCATTTGATTCTGCATCATCGGGGATAGTGTCCCGAAACCCTGAACCCTGGACCCTATACATGGCCTCATGTCTCCTACATCCCCTCTAGAGAACCTTAACAATCCCCAAGCCTACGTGCCCCTACAGAACCCCCAAATCCCGTTGAAAAGGAACCTTAGTCCCCGACCCCAAAGCCTAAACCCCAAACGTCAGAGCTAAACCCATAACCCTGAACCCCAAACCCTAAACCCTGAACCTCAAACCCTGAACCCTGAACCTCAAACCGGAACCCTGAACCCCAAGCCCTAAACCCTGAACCTCAAACCCAAACCTGAACCTCAAACCGGAACCCTGAACCCCAAGCCCTAAACCCTCAACCTCAAACCCTAAAAAGCGCAACCGTCCGAGCCTGCTTGGGCTTGGGCTTGGTGTCGGCCATCGCTACCAGGATCCCAGCAGTTCGACTCGATGCGATACTCCAAATGGGCTGAGAACCCCGGCAGGCTCGGGCCACAGAGATTTAGGGATTTTAGGGTTTGGCATGTTTTTTGGTGTTAGGGATTTAGGGATTAGGCTTGTAGAGTTTAACATACTTTGGGGTTTAGAACTTGTGGGATTTAGGGTTTAGGGATTCGGGGATTAGTGATTTCGGATTTTTGGGTTTAGGGTCTTAAGGGTTTAGGGTCACGGGATTTAGGGTTGTAGGGTTGAGTTTTTGAGGTTTATGGTTTTGGGGATTTACGGCTTTAGGGTTTTAGGGGTTATGGTTTTTGGATTTTAGGGTTTAGATTTTTTTTGGTTTCAGAGTTTGGGGATTTAGGGTTTTACCGGCTTTCGGGCGTTGGGGTTTCTAGTTTTGGGGCTTAGGTGCTTTAAGGTTCAGGGATTTGAGGATTTAGGGGTTCAGGTTCTAGGGATTTAGGGATTTAAGGTTTAGGGCTTGGGGTTTTAGTGCCTAGAGCCACTGAGACCAGGTCAAGCAAAGAATGTTGTCTGGAGACCTTATAGAGAATCTATGATGTTCAGAAACCCTAAACCCTAAAACCCTAAACCCTAAAACCCTGAACCCTAAAACGCTAATTATTGAAAGGTTGCCTGCTCGTAGGTTCGTCCTATTGGCGTGCACCAAAAATGGGTTTGACCCTAA